CACACACACACACACACACACACACACACACACTCTCTCTCTCTCTCTCTCAACACCACTGCCATAAACCTATCAGTATTTTTGCCTTATTTTCATCCTTATCTCTATTAAAATACATTTTCTATATAAAATATACGTTATTATTTTTCATTTTAAATTTTCTTTCAAAAATTTGGGATCAGTACGATTTTTTTGAAAGAAATAAAATGTTTTTCAGAAGGAATTCATTAAATTTGATCAAAAGTGACAGTAAAGACATTAATATTGTTACAACAGATTTCTATTTCAGTTCTTTTTCAGTTCTATTCATCAAAGGATCATGAAGAAAGTATCATGGTTTCCACAAAAATATTTAGCAGCTCAACTGTTTTTAACATTGATTATAAAAAGAAATGTTTCTTGAGCTCCAAATCATCATTTTATAATGATTTCTGAAGGATCATGTGACACTGAAGACTGAAGTAATGAGGCAGAAAATTCAGCTTTGCCGTCACAGGAATAAATTACACTTTAAAATATATTCAAATAGAAAACAGTTATTTTAAATTGCAATAATATTTCACAATACTACTGTTTTACAGTATTATTAATAACATAAACACAGCCTTGGTGAGCATAAGACAACCTTCAAAAAATACTGACCCCAAACCTTTGAACAGTAGTGTATAAAGCTATAAGCAATATAAATATAACATTTTTCTTTTTAATGTTTGTCACTGTATTTTCTTATTGCTATTTTATATATATAAAACAAGATTTAGGTTTTTATAAATGACAAATATTCCTTTTATTTATTAATTTTCCTATGAATTTTAGTAAAACATCTTGGATTTAGTGGTGAAGGAAAATTGCATAAGGATGTTTAGATTTGATTACTGGAAAACAAGAGAAAAATACTGATTAAGGAAATGACTTCTTGTGCTGAAAACATGCGCACATGCATTTCATTTGAGACTCTAGAGTAATTCGAGGGTTCAAACCCTCTATTAAAACGCAGATGAGCATACAGTGTCTCTTACCGTCCTCTTCCTTGTGTGTGTTTTGCGGGCTGTGCATCCTATCTGCGCTGGAGGGGTGGTTCAGGTCAGACGGTGCGGCGTGACGTTCAGCTGATATCCATGTGGGGTCACTCATATCAAACTCCTCACTACTCACTGAACAGTCATCCTGTGGAGAGAGAGATGTCAGTCCGACAGCTGAGGCAGGATTGCTCATATCGGCGCCACGTCTGTGCGTGTGCGCAAAACTAGAATAGATGTGAAAGTCAGATTGGGCCGTGATGTTGGCAGGCAAACAGGCCCATGAGGAGGGCTGTCAGAGAGAGCAGTCACCCCCTGCTGAGTGACAGCATCACTCATATACACACACACACAGGCGCAGCGGCCCACCGAGACCACCAAAATTACGACTGGGCCCCAAAAGCACAGTGCAGAAGTGTTGAAAAAGAAAGTATATCTATTCTACTGAAGGTATAAACATGATCAAAATGATTTATTACTGAAAAATTCACATTCTGACTGCCCTAAAACCTGATTCAATTAAGGCATTACAGTTTTTTGCCTTTGTGACTGCTATGAAAATCAATCAATGAACATGAATCATTTTGTAATTAAAGATATATGTATCAGCTAATATTTGATTTGCATGTGTGAATAATGGTTTGCACTGCTGTATATAAGGCTACATAAATACATGATTTACTTGCTGATAAACATGCATTGAAATGTCTAACGCAAATGAAATCTGTGAAACATTTTCCAAGGTATGCATCTCAAATGAAATGATATTCTATAAGCAGACGTTGAACTACGGTTATGAACAGTATTCAACAGTATTCCTATCATGCACATGAATTAAAAGTAAAAAGTAAGGTTATGAAAGGTTGTTCAAATTAAGAAAATTTTTGGGGTCTTTAAAAAAAAAAAACTTTTATTCAGTAAGGCTGCATTAAATGTATCAAGTGACAGTAAAGACATTTTACATTGTTGGAAAAAAATCTATTTTAAATTAATGATGGAATCCCAATTCATCAAAAAAAAAAAAATCCTGAAAAAAGTATCACAGTTTCAACAAAACTATTAATCAGCGCAACTGTTTTCAACATTGATAATAATAGGAAATGTTTTTTGAGAAGCAAATCGACATATTAATGATTTCTGAAAGATCATGTGACACTGAAGACTCGAGTAATGATGCTGAAAATTCAGCTTTGCCTTCACAGAAATATATTCAAATGTATTCAAATAGAGAACACATTATTAATTGTAAAAATATCCCACAAGATTACTGTTTTTACAGTATTTTTGATCAAATAAATGCAGCCTTGGTTAACATAAGAGACTTTCAAACCTTTCAAAAACAGATTAAAAAAATCTTACTGACCACAAACTGCTGAACATTAGCGAAATTCCATAGATTTTTTTAATGAAATATATATATAAATATATATAAAATCATAATTTATTTTCTCCCCATTCAATTTATCTATTTCTGAAAATCAACAATTTGTTCCATCTACACAAGCAATTTGTTCTGTTTCATAACAAGTCTCTTCAAATGAATAATTGTTTTCCTGAATAAATCCATTTTCTCCATTCGATAAATTAAACTCTCAGTAGTCAGTGGTGAGGATGCCTGTATATGTGAATCAAATAAATCACAGCATTCTGTTTTTCGCCACATTTGACAGCATCATTTCCTCAAGTTTGGATGACAGTGCCACTTCAAGTACATTTGTAATGTTAATGGTATGGATAATTCATAGAAAAACAGTCAAAAGAATCTTTCAGAGAGAACAAGGCTAAACTTGCCCTATTCAGAATTTCATTTCCAAAAAGAAAAAGAAATTACCTTAAATTACACAAATGTATTATTGTAAAAATAATGACTATGTAATGATGGCTATTAAACTTAATTTGTTCCCTTGACTTATTAAATTGCTCCTCAATTTCAGAAACTTGTTCAGTTTGATAGCATCATGTCAAGCCCTTTCACCTCTGGAGGACAGCCATCATCCCATTTTAATCACATAACAACCTATAACCGCAAATGAATGTCTCTAAACAATCTCAAGAGCTCAAGAGGTTCTGTTCGGTAGTTACAGTCTGGAACATGTGTTCATGATCAACATGAGCATCTCAAACTGGCTCGATTGGCTGTACATGCTGTGCTGGGTTAGTAAAGCAATGAAATACCTGTGCATAATGTGCTGGACGGAAGAGGATGATTTATTAGACAGGCGAAAGTAAAAGCCGCCCCAGGGACAGCGGGTGAGGAGGACCCATCTGCTCATGCCTGTTGTTAAAGGGAAACCCTGCCGCACGGCACGACCTCGGTTTAAACAGACGCATTCCCCCCCAGAGCTGCCAATCACACAATACCTCCCACCACCAGCCCAGTGCCAGCTCTGATTGGTTAAGGCGCTTTACATGCAAATTTGACAGTGCATTATTGATGGGACAAAGTCTTCTGTCTTGCTGCTCCCTTAAAGGAGTTTTAACTGTTCTTCTGTGCCAGTTTAATGTGTAAAGGTGAGTTTGGGACAAGACTGTCTGGTATAGTAGTTTTGGGGTAAAAAGTTTGAAGTCAACAGAATTTTATTAACAGAATTTATTACATTTAGTACATTTATTCAGCGATATGATCAAAAGTGAATGTAAAAACAATCATTGTGTTACAAACAATTTCAATTTCAAATAAATGCTGTTTTTTTTACTTTCTATTCAAAAAACGAATCCTGAAATAAAAATGATCATGGTTTTCAAATTAGCATATTAAGAATGATTTCTGAAGGATCATGTGATTACTGAAGTAATGGCTAATAAAAAATCTTTGACATCAGTAATAAATTACATTTTAATAGCTATTAAAACAGAAAACAGTTCATTTTTTTTTTACAATTTATATTTTAAATTGTAACAATAGTAATTTCACAGTATTACTGTATTTACTGTATTTTCTGATCAAATTAATTCAGGCTTACATCTTTCTTTTGTACAATTATAGCAATGTATATTAAAGCTTTTAAATTTTTTCTTCCAAAAAAATTAAATTTATATACAGTGGGTACGGAAAGTATTCAGACCCCCTTAAATTTTTCACTCTTTGTACATATATACAGTATATATATATATAAATATATACATATATACAATATATATACAGTATATATATATAAATTGACAAATCAGCTGAATTTGCATCACAGAAAAGCTCATTTTAAACTTTTAAGGCATAAAAATGGATGTGCAAGATCAACAAATGATTTTCAGTGTCAGAGCAGCACTGGCCTGCAGGGCAAGTGATTGTTCTTTTTCAAGTGGTTGTTAGAGTTGTTGACTTGCCTGAAAATCTCTCACACTGACTCTGGGACAACAGGTCATCCTAACTGTTGAGCCCTACACTGACTTTAATAATCAACCTTTGAAAAATACATCCTACAAATACAGCAATCGGATACATGTTTGTTCATAAGCCCCCAGAGATCAAGAACGATGTCCAGGGGTCAGCAGAAGTTATCAGGGTCAGCTGATAGGAACAGACAGCAGAGGGAGGGGCCAAATACACCCTTTAAAGGTCACAAGGAAACGCACTGTAGCTCAAACCATCAGGTAGACAACAAAGAGGATCGCACTTAAAGCGGTCACACACCCGTCCCACCCCCCAAACCCTGCGTAATGTATTCTGCCGCATTTTCATTCCCATGCTGAAGTCACAGAACTGACAATCCAGCACCTCCTTAATCATCTTCCAATAGGACATCAAACAGCAGCCTCTATTAATCTGACATTTAACTCCTTTTCAATTATAATCTTATAAGATCGCATTTAACCGCTTCAAGCCCGCGATCAGTGCCGCACAGCTAATCCAATTTAGAACAATGCAGGTCATCAGCGGCCGAATCTCTCCGACTCCATCTCGCAGCACCCCTACGGCTCAATTCTGATGGTCTTTTATTAGTTTTTATTGTTTATTAATTATCATGCTTACGGTCTCCTCTCATCTGCATGCAGGTGACATTCCACTCTCTCTCTCTCTCTCTCTGACAAATTGCTGCCTATGCAGATAAAGAGAGCAGGGACAGCCTGGCATTTTCCCCCTTTACGAAACATCCCAGCTCCTCCGTGTCTTTAATGAGAATAACAGATAGAAACGAGTCCAATCACCTGGTTTCTTTCATTTGTGGAGGGTCTGAGTGGCTCTGTGGGCTGTGCATGTGTGTTTCAGGGTTTCTTTTGTCTGAGAGCTGTGTGTGCGTTCACAAAACACAAAGAGCAGACGTCCTTGGGAGACGGTCTCTTCTCAGCCAGGGCTAGGCGTTTCCTTTGTCCTGTCTCGCGTTTTCATTTAGTTGATTAACTTTGCTTTCATAATAATACGCTTTTGGGTGGGTGAGAATTAAAGGAGCCTTTTATCGCTTTAACTGATTTACGTTCGCACGACTTGAACCTCCAAGCCAGGAGTGCGGACATTTGTAGAGTTACTTTATTAGTGAGGTTAGCCTGTTAGCCGCCCCGCTGTATACCGAGCTGTAAATTGTCTAAATTAAGACGTGAAGGGGGAAAAGTCTTTAAAAAAATCATTAACTTCAGGAGCAAGTCTATTTTTAATGGTGTGCCAAGGAGAATCGGACTACCTGGGCGTTCTTCTGCCTTCAGGTCTGAAGTTCACAGAATGGTCTTGGGAGAAAAAAACAGATAGCATATTAATATATGGGTTCCTCACGTAAATACACATGCGCACACGCCTAATGTACCTTCAATGATTGATGCCCACCTTCAGAAGCACGCCGTGCTGTTTTGTCAAGCACAGAGGCACTAAAATATGAATACAATGAATGTATTCAAGACATATGAATGTCTTTCTCTGAGACAGTTTAAAGCATGCATGAGAACACTGGGGCAACATTTGCTTTCCTGAGCTTGTAAAAAGGCTTCTGTAAGGCTTCTGAGATTGGCCCCTTCTGCCTGCACTGTTTTTTGGTACCAGGGCCATTTAAAGCTAATCCAGTTAGCAAGCCAACCCTTCCTGTCCGAGTCTTCAACCTTTCCTTCTCATATCGGCAAGCCGGCTGCTGGTGTCCTTGTGAGAAGCTCAATGCTGTGGTAATGTAACCCTTGGGTTTATGTTGGCAAGTCCAAAATAATTAACCTGATAAACAGCTTTTG